ACATTTACCTTTGACATTATGGTATTATCTTTATTTGTTCATAAATGTAATTTTTTGAAGTGATACCTAATTTCAAATATTTAATTATCCTCATTATTATCAACCTACCCTCCCCCCAAATCAACTACGTTCAGAAGGATATCACCTGAACACATATCCTCATTTTACAGCCTCTCTTTTGCTTATGCCTCACTACCATCCCAGACGGTCCTGTTGAATAGCTTATGCTATGCTTCATAAAGTCTTTATAAACCATTCCAGCTCAATTTGATATGTTCTTTTTGAAAGTCCATCATATTGTCAGTAGCACTCTGGTACTTAACCACATACAATCTTCTATTTAAAACTGTATCTATAGTTCATATTTCAAATTAGACCCTGGGTCCATAAGGAGATAGATCATATCAAATGCTAGTATCAGAACAAGCAACTAAGTCGTCTACCACCAGTAGAAACAGAATGGGAAAATTTACCTCCAGCATTATTAGTTGTTTTTTTTTAACCTTGAACAAATCACTGAGGCTGTGCCTCACCAAAAATTATTAAGGCTTAATGGTTAAGCGAACAGATAAGATATCCTATCCACTTTCAATCTATTACCATCCTCATCTCACTTGACTTTTAATAGAAGCCATTCAGTCCATTTGTCTACTTCTTTCTTCTCGAAGCACTTTCTTCTTTAGAATTCTACAACACCGCACTCATCTGGTTTTCTTATCTCTTCTTCTTCCAGGCACCTGCCATAACATCTGGCTATTTTTAGAGACGGAGCCTTGCTTTTGCTCAGGCTGGTCTTGAATCCGTGAGCTCTGGCAATCTACCTGCCTCGGCCTCCCAGAGTGCTAGGATTATAGGTGTGAGCCACTGTGCCTGGCCTCCTATCTCTTCTTAGCTGACTCCTCCTTCTATATCAGACTTTTAACTGTTGGAGTGTTCAAGGACCTTTCCCTACACTTCCTGCTCTATACTTAAGTTCTCAGTGACTATATTCAGTTTTATATGAGTATATGTGCAATGTACATATTGAAAACTCCAATTTGAACCTCCAGCTTGTGACGCAGGTTTACTGTGAACTGGTTAAAAGCTTCTCAGAGTATGGTGAAACTAGATACCCACATAAGAACAAGTCACGTGAAGCAGATTTATTACAGATAGGCAGCAAGGGAGAAGAAAAGCCTAAGATTCTCTGCAACCCAGCCCCTTAAGGCTCAGAAAAGCTGCCCAGGGTAGATGGAGTCTTGTCTTCATGTGCCCCACTTGCACAGCAGCTGAAGAACCCCAGACAGCTTACCACCCTGAGTTTTATATTCCAGGGTTATAGGACACACTGGGCTAAAACACTGAAAGACATCTGTTTCAAGAAGGAGAAAGAAACAGAACCTGGGTTGTTCTAGCCAGTTCCTCTTCTACATCATTATGTCACATTCCTAGCATATTTTTTTTAGTTATTCTTAAGAACTAACTACAAGTGAGAAAGGAAGACGAATAGGTTGGCCCCAGCCACCCAGAGAACTGTCCTGCACAGCTGTGTTCAAGATTAATGTAACCAATTGCCTTCTTAATGTCCCATTTAGATGCCTAATAATCTGGCCAAAGCAAAGCTATTAACTCTGGCCACAAATTGGTTTCTCTGTGAGCCTTTTCCTATCTTAAGAAATGGCACTGTCATTTATCTACCCAGTTGCTAAGGTCAAATACCTAGGAGAAACTCTTTATTCTTCAATTTTTTAATCCCCTCACTGTTGGCTAAACTTCTAAAATAATCTTAATTTTAACTACTTCTCACATTTCCATTACTGTAAGCCTAGTCTGAATCACCATCATCTTTTTATCTAAAGTCTATATTCTGTACTACTATAATAACTTCCTGATTGTCTCTATTCTTGACTTCCAATGCCCATCCTTTCCAAACTTTAGACAATCAGAAAATCAGAATTATCTTTCTAAAGCATAAATCAGGTTACATCACTCCATTTCTTAAAAGTGTTCAATGATCCCCCAACATCAGCAATTGTCTCAGTCAGTCAGGCTGCTACAACAAAAATGCCATAGACTGGGTGGCTCAAATAACATTTATTTCTCACAGCCCTGGTGGCTGGGAAGTCCAAGATCAAACTGCTGGCAGATTCACTGTCTTGTGAAGGCCCATTTTCTTATTCATAAATGGCCATCTTCTAATTGTCCTCACATGGCAGAAAGATGAAGGAGCTCTTTGGATTGTCTAAGGGTACTAATTCTGTTCATGAGGGCAACATCTTTATGTCCTCCTCACCTCATGAAGTTAATTCCTGAGTCAAGAACTCTGCATTTGTTTGAAAGGCTTTTCCCTCATATCTTTTCATAGTTGTTATTTTCTCATTATTCAGGCCTCAACTCAAATATCCACCTCTTCACAGAGATGTTTCCCTAACATATTAGGAAATAACATTCCCTACTCTTAAAATTCATATCACACTATACTATTATGTCTTCTCTATACATTTGTTAATGTCAGATATTTAATGGTTTTATTGCTGTTTTTACCAGTCCGAAAACCCACTGAGAGCAGGAACTATTTCTGTATATTATTGGTAACTATGCCCTTAGTATCTGTAAACAGTGTTTGGTACATAACACATACCAAATAAATGCTCCCTCTCCAAGGGAGCTACCTCTTTCTTAATCTATGACTTGATAGAAGCACACATATACATTTAAAAATAATTTTGGTTGAGTGTAAAAGCTTAAGCCTATAATCCTAGAACTCTGAGAGGCCAAAGCAGGAGATCAGGAGTTCAAGGCCAGCCTGACCAAGAATGAGCCCCATCTCTACAAAAAGTAGAAAAATTAGCCAGGGGCAGTGATTGAGTGCCTACTGTCTCAACTACTTGGGAGGATGAGGCAGGAGGATCATTTGAGCCTAGGAGTATGAGGTTGCAGTGAGCTATGATGATGCCAAGGCAACAGAGCTCCCTCTGTCTCAAAAAAATAAAAAATAACAATACTTTTATATTAATTATATCATTATAACTTAAAGTCACCCTTAGTCAAGAAATATCCTATTATAACATGTGTTTACAATATTGGACTATTTTAAATCTTCATCATGTCTTTTTTTTTTTTTTGCAGTTTTTGGCTGAAGGCTCAAACCTGCTACCCCTGGTATATGGGGCTGGTGCCCTACTCCTTGAGCCACAGGTGCCGCCTTTCATCATGTCTTTTATGTGTTCTATCCATATCCAGTATAAGCCTTCTAATTCCTTATGTAGTTACCTGAGTTCTATAACAAAAATATTAACTTGTAAACTTTTTGGAATTACGGTATGAATAAATGTAATGAGTTTTTAATAAATAATAGCATTTTATTTCTTTAATTTTCTCCTTCCTTCCTTTTTTAGACAGAGACTCCCTCTGTTGCCCTAGCTAGTATGCAGTGCTATCATAATAATTCACTGCAACCTCAGTGATTCCCTGCCTTAGCCTCCCATGTATCTGTGACTATCGGCATGTGCCACCATGCCCAGATAATTTTTCTTCCTTTTTTTTTGTAGAGATGGGGTCTTGCTCAGTCTGGTCTGGAAATCCTAACCTCAAGCTATACTTCCTCAACCTCCCTCCCAGAGTGCTAGGATTACAGGCATGAGCCACCATGCCCAGCCCATTTTACTAATTATTTATTGTGTTAAAATTTAAAATAAATTGTTAATTAAAACAGACTTTTGAGAAATAAGAAAAAACATACCTCTTATCCATGGCATCCTAAGTTCATTATCAGTAACTCCTAAATAATAACTTTCATCTTCATATAAACCTGAAGGGCTTTGAAGCAGTAAAGCATCTATGCAAGACTTCTTTCTAACTACATTCTGTGTAAGAAAGATAATAAAATCTTTTAACATACTATTTATCAATATTTGGAATATTAAATTTCTTCTTTTAAACTTATACTATATTTTTCTTAAATAAAAATACACAAATGTTATAAAATATACACATTTTACTATGCTTCACCGATACTGGATTTTTTACAAATTGAAGGTTTATGGCAATCCTGCATGGAAAGTCTTTCAGCAGCATTTCTTCAATACCATGTACTTCCTTTGTGTCTCTGTGTCATATTTTGGTAACTGTATTAATGTTGCAAAGTCTTTCAACATTATTTTATCTGTTATGATGATCTGTGATCAGTGATCTTTGATTTTATTACTGTAATTGTTTGGGGGCACATCTAAGACAGTGAACTTAATTGGTAAATGTTGTATATGTTCTGACAAAACAGCCTTCTACTGGAAAAAGATGCCATCTAGGACTTCCGCAGCTAGACAAAAGGCAATGCCAGCTCGGCGCCTGTGGCTCAAGCGGCTAAGGCGCCAG